AATAGCAACAGCCTTTAATTCCTAAATATGTAGTCATTAACCGCTACACTATTCAGAAAAGATGCATTTATTGTGAGGTTTAGATATCTTCCTCTGATTGTGTTACCTGTCATTAAAAACTGTAATTGTGTCTTGGTGATATTTTTACCACTCGGAGGACAGAATTTTTAAAGTTGGACAGTAAATGCTTTGATAACTTGTGTAATTTGATGGTGAAGCTTTGAAGAAACGATCCAACAAAAGGGAGTGAAAAGTGCACCCAGAGAAAGACCAGACCCTAACCCTAATCCAAGGACAGAGGAAGTTTCGTTTAATACAAACCTTTGTGTCGACGTAAAGACTCCATAGTGTTGCTGCGTGAATTCTTATTTCCGGCACTCGTTGGCACACAGTAATTTCCATCTATCTCTGCAGCTGAGCGAGGCACACAATAGGTGTCCGTGGGTGAGCGCTCAGCAGGAGGTGGCGGGAGTCCTGAGGAGGAACTGAGAGAAGGCTTGGGCGGCCTAGGAGGAGGTACTACATCGCTCTCGTAGCTTCCCAACGTTGTGGATGTGGACAGTGTACGTGGAACCTGGTATGTAGAGTTTGAGCCAGGTGTCGGTGGGATGTCGTAACTAACAGAAAGATTGCGTATCTGTGTCTCCACTGAGGCCTTTCTGATTGGCGTGTTAAAGACGTAAAGCTCAGAGGCGTCCCCGCCGTCCGGGTGGGCCGTTGGCGAAGAGGCCGACTTGGGGAGCAGCACAGTGTCCTGCGAGTAGCTGCGAGGGAGGTGATAGATGCCGCTGTCGCTCGATAGCGAGGCACCGCGTGAGGGCGGAGAGTCGTAAAAGGAAGGAGCAGAGGTTGGAGGTTGATGCTGTGGGAAGAAGCCATTGTGGGAAATTTGCTTAGTTGAGGAAGAGGAGAACGTAGGCGTGCGATGAGATGGAAGGTTGTCATTCAGGTCAGTCTCGGAAGAGGTAGACTTGGAGCACTCAGCAGGAGCTCTGACAACACAAAAACATGGATTCAGAAAAGCAGAAACATAAAATCAGCTCCATTTGCAAGCTACAGTTAGTCATTTTTAGAGCTCTAATCTGTAGTCTTGCGCAAATCTTGCCATATTAGTATTTCTTTGAGAACCACGTGGAGAACCTTATCACTTTGCAGCTGCTGTGCGATTCCATCATGCAGGCAAAACCATCATAATCAGTACATTATTGGGTCAAACACACACAAAGTATTTTTAATCTACAGGGTGAGCTGTTCTATCTCTTTATACCCACTCCTAAAAGTCACCATTTACATTTAAGGTCACAAAAATAAAATGTTTTTTGTTGTTTTCACTTCATCGCCACACAAGAAGGAAGTTCCAGCTGGTTGTCTGGACACTCACAAACTAGCTTGTGGAGTCTTGCTCTCACACTCCTCCAGGAGCAAATACTCCTGGTTGTTCTCCTCCGATGGAGGCAGACACTCCACTGAGCTACAAACCGTACAGAAGAAACAAAGGCAAGAGCAGCAATAGTTCAAATGAAGACAAAGAGGAAATGTCTGGAAGCTGCAGACAGAAGTGTTAAGAGACAGGCGTTCAGAGAATCGGTCTCACCTGTTGGGTTCAGGCTTTTTGCTTTCACAGTTTGCAAGCCACAGGTAATCCTGAACCTCTGAACTGGACTGAGGCTCCAATTGTCTCACGCTGACGGGTTGGTAAGGAGGCGGCACGTTAGGCAGCACCAATGCCGTTTGACCAGCGACGTTACCCAGAATGGGGTGTGGGGGGATGTCCACCACAGATTGGGGGCCAGCTTTTGCAGCATCTGTAGGTAAAAGCAAAAAAGTAAGAGCTGGTGAGCATGCATCCTGTTCTTCCACAGCAAAACAAGAATGTTAAGAAAAAAAAAAAACAATTTGGCTGCAAAGAGTAAACTTAAAGAGGATTTTTTTTATACAGCAGCTCCACTAGTATAAGTCTAGACTATCGTTGGGCGATAGGCAGGCTACATGTTTTAATGCCTCTGAATTTTTCTCACAGATGGGACATTAAACATTTCAAATCAGCATCTTTTGTTGCAACATTCTCTCTCTCTCTCTCTCATATATATATATATATATATATATATATATATATATATATATATATATATAAAAGAGAGAGAGAGAGAGAGAGAGAGAGAGAGAGAGAGAGAGAGAGAGAGAGAGAGAGAGAGAGAGAGAGAGAGAGAGAGAGAGAGTTGAATAAGGACACTTGTGAGTGGTGGATATCTGTGTGCAGTGTGTCAGGTTCACAAACACCTAAACCTCATCGGTGCAAATATATTGTCAATTTTTGGCCTGACTAATGACAACATTTTATCAATCACCCCACCACAGTTTCCAACATTATCACTTTCAGGACGACCCAACCTTTTTTTTTAAATGAATTGGAAATTCTCCCAGAATGTATACAGGTCCTTCTAAAAAAATTAGCATATTGTGATAAAGTTCATTATTGTCTGTAATGTGCTGATAAACATTAGACTTTCAAATATATTAGATTCATTACACACACAACTGAAGTAGTTCAAGCCTTTTGTTTCTATATTGATGATTTTGGCATACAGTTCATGAAAACCCAAAATTCCCATCTCAAAAAATTAGCATTGTCCAGACCATTCGCAAGCTTGCGGTCTCCGTCTTTGTCGACTGATAGTTAAAAATTGGGGCATATCTCCGTCAGCCTCCATGAGCCAAACAGAGGACTCTTGCGTTGACGCATAATGGCGTTGCGTGTTTCTGTCCCAACACAGACGGAGAAGTATAATTTCAGCTTAAGCAAGCATGTAGCGACAGTGGAGAGGAAAGCTCCCCTTAAACAGGAAGAAACCAACAGAACCTGGCTCCGAATGAGCAGCCATCCGCCGCAACTCACTGGTGGTTTAAGAAGACACATTTCATTCCAATCAGGTATGAAGCAGAGAAACACCTGAAACATGATAGTGCGTGTGCTGTCCAGCTCAGTGGCCTAGTGGTAGAGTGTCTGCCCTGAGACTGGGAGATCAGGGTTCGATTCCTGGTCGGGTCATACCAAAGGCTTTGAAAAAATGGGACCCAATGCCTCTCTGCTTGACACTCAGCATTAAGGGGTTGGATTGGGGGGTTAAACCACCAAATGGTTCCCGAGCGCGGCTGTGTCTGCAGCTCACCGCTCCCCCAGGGGATGGGTCAAATGCGGAGAACAAATTTCGCACACACATCAGTGTGTGTGACAACTAATGGAACTTTAACTTTAGAGGGGGAAATGCTTATATTCTATAGTATCTTCCCATGAGGCCATCTGGTTGCAGAACCTTTGAAAATAAATGAAATTAGCGGACTAATGTTAACCTATACAGGGAGTGCAGAATTATTAGGCAAATGAGTATTTTGTCCACATCATCCTCTTCATGCATGTTGTCTTACTCCAAGCTGTATAGGCTCGAAAGCCTACTACCAGTTAAGCATATTAGGTGATGTGCATCTCTGTAATGAGAAGGGGTGTGGTCTAATGACATCAACACCCTATATCAGGTGTGCATAATTATTAGGCAACTTCCTTTCCTTTGGCAAAATGGGTCAAAAGAAGGACTTGACAGGCTCAGAAATGTCAAAAATAGTGAGATATCTTGCAGAGGGATGCAGCGGTCTTAAAATTGCAAAGCTTCTGAAGCGTGATCATCGAACAATCAAGCGTTTCATTCAAAATAGTCAACAAAGAAGCGTGTGGACAAACCAAGGCGCAAAATAACTGCCCATGAACTGAGAAAAGTCGAGCGTGCAGCTGCCAAGATGCCACTTGCCATCAGTTTGGCCATATTTCAGAGCTACAACATCACTGAAGTGCCCAAAAGCACAAGGTGTGCAATACTCAGAGACATGGCCAAGGTAAGAAAGGTTGAAAGACGACCACCACTGAACAAGACACACAAGCTGAAACGTCAAGACTGGGCCAAGAAATATCTCAAGACTGATTTTTCTAAGGTTTTATGGACTGATGAAATGAGAGTGAGTCTTGACGGGCCAGATGGATGGGCCCGTGGCTGGATTGGTAAAGGGCAGAGAGCTCCAGTCCGACTCAGACGCCAGCAAGGTGGAGGTGGAGTACTGGTTTGGGCTGGTATCATCAAAGATTGAGCTTGTGGGGCCTTTTCGGGTTGAGGATGGAGTCAAGCTCAACTCCCAGTCCTACTGCCAGTTTCTGGAAGACACCTTCTTCAAGCAGTGGTACAGGAAGAAGTCTGCATCCTTCAAGAAAAACACGATTTTCATGCAGGACAATGCTCCATCACACGCGTCCAAGTACTCCACAGCATGGCTGGCAAGAAAGGGTATAAAAGAAGAAAAACTAATGACATTGCCTCCTTGTTCACCTGATCTGAACCCCATTGAGAACCTGTGGTCCATCATCAAATGTGAGATTTACAAGGAGGGAAAACAGTACACCTCTCTGAACAGTGTCTGGGAGGCTGTGGTTGCTGCTGCACGCAATGTTGATGGTGAACAGATCAAAACGCTGACAGAATCCATGGATGGCAGGCTTTTGAGTGTCCTTGCAAATAAAGGTGACTATATTGGTCGCTGATTTGTTTTTGTATTGTTTTTGAATGTCAGAAATGTATATGTGGGAATGTGGAGATGTTATATTGGTTTCACTGGTAAAAAGAAATAATTGAAATGGGTATATATTTGTTTTTTGTTAAGTTACCTAATAATTATGCACAGTAATAGTCACCTGCACACACACAGATATCCCTCTAAAATAGCTCAAACTAAAAACAAACTAAAAACTACTTCTAAAAACATTCAGCTTTGATATTAATGAGTTGTTTGGGTTCATTGAGAACATGGTTGTTGTTCAATAATAAAATTATTCCTCAAAAATACAACTTGCCTAATAATTCTGCACTCCCTGTAGCTCCTGTTGATCCCCCAGAGCACCAGAAGGGTCTAAAACTGCTCTTACTGTGACTCTGTAAGGCCAGCTGAGACTGAATAGGTCATGTAGGTGTCTTGTGAAGTCAAGAATAAGGTAAACAGCAAGTTGTGTTTGCAAATACAAACTCTGGCAGAGTGAAAACTGATTCAAGCGGTTTCCTAGCAACCTGACTCCAATACAACACTGCAGTGCAGTCTTTAGAAAATGTTCAACTTTACATCTTTATAGGAGGTCTGAACTTGAACAAGACATTAAATGTAAGCTCACTCTGGAAAAAAGCACGTGTCTGAGTAATCCAGTACTGTATGTGCTGAACTCCTCCTCTGATGATGTCTGCAGCAGCTAATGTCTTCATGATCATTCAGCATGGTAAACAATGTATACAGCTCTCCAGAGATGGGAATTGTGGCTTTCAACAAGTCATCTCCATGCCGTGTTTTTGTTCTGCTCAGCAGTTGAACCAGGTTCCTTCACTGTGCTGATTGAAAATCACGTGGTTTAGTTGCTGAGCTGAAGAAAAACATGACATGGAGATGACTTGTTGAAGCCACAATTCCCCATCTCTGCAGTTCTCAGTTCAAAAGAAACTTTTACACAAATAAAGCTAATTGTGGTGAAAACTGCTGGATTAAGAGTAAACTGTAGTTGTTGCTGTGAATTTAGTTGTACGTCACCATGAGCCTGTACTCTCATCATTTCTTATCAAGAGTACACATGATGCCTAATTAAATACTTGATTCTTTTTTATTTTTGCCTTCCCACACATTTGTCTCAGACAGTTTTATCAAGGTCTTTGCTTTGTCACAAGGTGAGTTATCAAATTTTAGAGTCCTTTTCAAACCCTTCTGCCTGAGCTCACTGTTGTGCTGCATTCAGTGACAAGATGGTTGAGTTTTTTTTTCTACCAATCTACATTTATTTTCTCTATTCATGTGTCTTAACGAAAACAAGGTCGCAGAGTTCTCTTCTATAAAAACTTTCCCTTTTATAAAGCGGCAGTTTCTTTTCTCTTTTATGCTCCGAGTTTAACGCTTTAGAGTTGGTTTATGAGGAAGAGAGAAAATCCCCACCTCGTGTACTAATCTATATCTCCTACACGGTCAGAGACCTCATTCCTCAAGCCCTTCCCAACATATCTGTCTTCAATATCTGTTCAGCTACTAAATACTCTACAAGTATTGTAGCCACACACAACAGAAGAGTGGGAGTTGGGTCACACATGCAGAGAAGTGAGAGCTGATGGAGAGCCAAGGACGTTCTTTCCGAAGAGAGAGGCCCGTCTGCAAAACTATCTGTCTTTTTACCCAGTTTCTCCTTAGAGAGTTTGTCAGTTACCTCGAAAATAGGTTTAGTCAGCTCTAACAATTGTTGGTGAATAAATGTTAATGGTAAGGATCCCTGTAACAAGGCACTGTTTGAAGAATTCCCTTGTAGCAGCATAATCATGAAAATCTTGAAAAGTTCCTTTTCCTGTAGAGAACAAGTTTTGCACTTGTAGCCAAAAAAAATAAAAATAAAAGAGTAAAAAAATGGCAGTGAGGTGCAAGAAGTACATGTTACAATCAGACTCCCCAAAAAGGAAGGAGCAGTAGACAAAGGGGAATGAAAAGCAGATAAGATGCCAAGAGCAAAGGAAAGTCAGCGAGACCTCTAGGCACACAATGCTTTGACTATCCAGGATTGGGAACATGGGTAACACGAGCCTCGATGCACACATGGATCAGCACATGGATCATCAGTCCCCGGCTAAAAACTGTGCTGAATATAAGCCTTCTAGCACACAAATGAAACTCCTTCAGCGAAACAGAAGTTTGGAAAGTACATCAGTAGATTTAAACACCCAAAAAATGTGGAAAAGCTAACCCAGTTGCACTATTAACAGATCTATTATTACACTGGTAATAGCACTATTTGAACCTAATTATACTTCATCATCTCCACAAGGGAGAGATGCACATGCATTGACTATTTTATTTTTGGACTTCTGACACCTGGGGAGTGCTGCAAATCATTTCCCTGCCAGGACAACAGAGGGCATAGCACTATTCTGAGGTATCCTGCCACCATTACAATCATGTATTTGGTCCACAATAGTGTATTTACTACTGTGTTTACATAGTTTTAATATATTTCAAAGACTTTTTAAGGTGGGTGAATTTGTCCCTCATTCTCCTTCACCTCTTGATGCAACCGGCACCTCTAAGCCCATGTTTCTCATTTCCATCCATGAATAAAAGGCTTGCTGTGTGTCTTTGTACATTTTCAGTCACATGTGGACAAATGTTCATATTTTCAGACTTTTTCAGCGAGTTTTTCAATCTGTTCTGTGTCTGCAGCTAAATATCTTTTTTTGAAGTAGTAATGGTGGTGCTGTTGATGAATTCAAAGGAAGCAGCATCCTGACCAATCACAGGTTTGCGGTTTCACTTTTGATGGACGTTTAAATTTTTGGGCACATCTCTGTCACCCTCTGTGAGCCTGTCGGAGAGCCCTTGCGCCGATGTTGACGTTGCTCGTCTCCGTACCGATTCACATGGAGGAGTATAAATTAGGCTTTAGTCATGGCAGGAAAACCAGTAAAAGCTAAGAGTTGTAATTCAGGACTTCATTGCTCAGATTGCAAAGACCTGTGGCTAAAGGCTGATTCATGCTTCTCCGTCAGCTCCGCAAGGGACAGACACGCACGGATTGACGGAAGCGCTTTGCTCTCATACTTCTCCGTCCCCTGGGGAGTGTTGCAAAGCAATTCCCTGCCAGGACAACAGAGGGCGTAGCGCTGTTCTGTGGTATCCTGTCATGTATCCGATCCAAGATGGTGTGTTTATTAGGGCTGCAACAAACGATTATTTGGATAATCAATTAATCGGATGGGGTCTCGACACGATTAATCGATTAATCGGATTACATAGGGACATTTTTAAAAACTGCTAGGGAAACGTTATTTTTCTCCTTCCTTCACTTTATTAAACACAACATTATTAGAAAACAGTTCAATAGCAGAAAAACAACATGCCATCACCTAAATTGTCTTATAAGGTGTATAGGCAGAGACCCTAAGCTACACCTATCTGTGACCTAAAATGCTTGGTCCAAGTTAAACAGCTTAAAGAGCAAGTCAACCCCTACCAGAGTCTAACTCCACTCCCGCTTCATGTTTGAAAAATGCAACACATGCTGTTGCCTGGCAGACCGAGAGGGCGGAGCCGCTAACAAATACACACACACTCAGGCTCATGACAGCATTGTGACATCATAATGTACCAGTTTACATCATAGCATACTTCTTAGCCAATAGCGATGGCAGATTTAAATTAAAATACAGTGCAGAGTTTTTACCTGACAACGGCACAACACTGCCAGTTTGAGGCAGAATATTTAAATTTTAACTAAGATGCACTGAAGTGCCAAATTATTGACGACACGTGTCTGCAGCACGATTAGACACTCGTTTATTTAGTTTATCAGCAAAAAAAAGTTTATTTGGGGGTGACTTGCTCTTTAAGGGCAATTCTCATCTGTTTTGTTTGATCTCATCTGTAGACATTTATTATAACTGGGGATGTCAAACAACTAATTTTTAAATGTAATTAAACATAGGCTGTGAATTAATCAAAATTAATCACTATTTCCAAAAATAACTGAAACAATACCAAATAAAACAAAAATAAATGAATGCCATCCTCCTTGCAATGATGCCCTGGGCAACTGCCATAAAGTCACATCAAGAAATGTTGCTGATCATTCCAATGATCCCAAATAGACTCACATTAGGCCACATGAAAGCAACTGAACCCAAAAATATATTAACCAGTATATAACTGCACTCTCACACAACACGCCTGCAGCAACAGTTAGGACTCCTCCCTCCCTTTTAAGAGCGTTTTCGCTTCTGAGGACATTGTGGTTGTAAAGCCACATGTTAGTAGTCTGGCCACGGTGTGATCAACCAGTTTCTGCGGGAATGTGACGGCGGAACCGGTTCGCAGCGGCGCGAGTCCCCCCCCCCCCCCCCCCGGTCTATCTAATAGCGTCGCGCTTACAATTTTATAGACTTTTTTAACGAGCTTAGGGCATGTCTAGCCTGTGTAATAATCCGGGGCTTGGGTGAATCACTTTTGAAAAGTTTTTAACTTACCCGGACACAGAACTCTCTCCTTCCTCGCTGATGATTCTGACATGCTTGCGTTTAAGACGCTGCATCACCACTGCAGCACTCCCGTGCCATGCCAAGTCTGACCTACAAACGTTGCATGTCTTCGCCTGATTCAACTGAAAATGCTCCCAAGCTTTAGAAGTTTTTACTTTTTTGGGGTCTCGCTGCTTCTGCCATGTTCCTCTTACACCTGCCGGCTCTCCACCGGTCTGCGCGCAACGGAGGGCGGGAGGGGAGGGGGCTTTTGGAAGAGTTGCGCAACACAACGAATCGATGACGCAATTCGTTGCCAACGCTTTTAGTAATCGATTTTCATCGAATTTATCGATTCGTTGTTGCAGCCCTAGTGTTTATATTGTGTTTTGTTGTATATAAGAGACTTTTTAACACGGACAAATTTGTCTCTTATTCTCCTCCACCTCTTCATGCGCTCGCCACCTCTAAACCCACGGTTCCTGTCATTTCCGTCCACAAATAAAACGGTTGCTGCGTATCTTTTCACTCCTCCAGTCACGGGGGAATTAAACGTTCATATTTTAGTTTTTTCATGAGGTATTCTTCAAGCTTCTCTGTGTCTGCCGCTAGTTATTCTCGGCTCTTTATGTTTTTGAGGGCGCAATGGCGGCGGTGTAGCCGACAGTGGTGCCCTGACCAATCACAAGCTTATGTTCTCCGTCTCGTTCGATGGATGTTTTAAAAAGTGGGCTTGACTCCATACGTGCTTGCTGGGGCCCTACGCAAGGACGGATAATGGCGTTGCATGTCTCCGCACTGACGCAGACGGAGAAGCATGAATCAGCCTTAACTCTACAATAACAGCCCTTACCTTCATCGGTCGGGTTAAAGCCACAGATGTCACAGATGTGGCGAACCCACTTGTTCATCTCGTCTTCGGTGTCAGCCACCAGGTAGAAGATGCGGTCAAAGGTCTTGATGTCAAATATGAAGCTGTGCCCAAATTCTTTCCTTTTGAACGTCAACCCGGCATCCACCTGAGAGGAGAAGTTGTACGTCAATACAAACGTAGCTGAGAAACAAACGATCTTAGTCAGAAAAAAATGACAGCATTCTAGCATCTTTACAGTTACGTTTATTAACATGTATTTAAATCTTTTTCAAATTTAAAGAAAGCATTATTCTGTCCAAAAAAAGAAAGGAAAATAAATTGAACTTTTGGTAGGGCTTAACGACCTTGATGTGATTTTGAACAACGTGATCACGTGATAGTCAAAGCTGTGGTTTTTTTGCAGAGCTCCTGACTGACCCAGGATCTGTTTTGGCAACTAACTTTCTAGAAAACTTCACTGAGCTTCTCTCTGTTATCATAACGGTCTTTGAATATTTTCTTATAACTGATGACTTTGATACTGACGTTGATGATGCCAATGACACATCTGCAGAGCAATTCCATGGAGTGCTTGAATTATTGGATGTACGTGGTCCAACACACACTCAAGGTCACAAACTAGATTTAATCTCAGCCAAATATGTTGATGTCTCAGACGTTAAGGATATGGGCCTTTCTGACCATTTCTGTGAGCTCTTTTGGATCTCACTTTCACCTTCTACCCACCACACTTCAGTTGTTCGGAAAAAAAAATTAAGGTATCAGTGATCACACTGCTTTGGTTGCTATAAAACGTATGAGTATGTCAATAACAAACTGAGTTGAGTCACTTCTAAATCATTTCAACTGCAAAACTCTTGAAGCCATCGACACCAAAGTACTCGAAAAGGTCAAACTTATCTCTGGCAAATAAAAAATTCCATGGAGGCTCATGAAATCAATTAAAAATACAAAAAGAAAGTGCAGGAAAGCTGAGCATAAACGGAGGACAAGTAACCTACCAGACCTTCAAAATGCAGCTGTGCACATACAACTCTGAAATAAATAAAGCGAGACAATCCTTTTTCTCTGCTTGTGTGTGCTGTGTTCTGTTTGCCACTGTCAAGATGCTAACTAATCTCCCAACATAGTTTGGCCCTGACTTCATATCCAAATTTAAGTGTAATGAGTTTGCAACTTTTTCAATGAGAAAATCGTTAACATCAGATTGGTCATTCATTCCTCCACGTCAACCAACACAACCAGACGTGTCAATACAGATTCAGGCAAAACGTGTGTGCTGGTGATCCTTGATCTCAGTGCAGCTTTTGATACTGTGGACCGCAACAACCTTCTCCATAGGCTCACGACCTAAGGGGGATTTTCAGGCACATACTTAGATCTCGAAGACAGGGGTTATGTTGTTTAATCTTTTGAGAGTCTTCGTCATCTTCCTCCGCTTATCCGGGTCACGGGGGCAGCATCACAACTAGGGAGCTCCAGACCGTTCTCTCCCAGGCCACCTCCACCAGCTCCTCAGGCAGGACCCCAAGGCGTTCCCGGACCAGATTGAAGATGTAACCTCTCCAACGTGTCCTGGGTCGACCCGGGGGCCTCCTGCCGGCAGGAAATGCCTGAAACACCTCCCCAGGGAGGCGTCCAGGAGGCATCCTGACCAGATGCCCAAACCACCTCAACTGGCTCCTTTCGATCCGGAAGAGCAGCGGTTCTACTCCGAGTCCCTCCCGAATGTCCGAGCTCCTCACCCTATCTCTAAGGCTGAGCCCGGTCACCCTACGGATGAAACTCATTTTGACCGCTTGTATCCGTGATCTCGTTCTTTCGGTCATTACCCAAAGCTCATGACCATAGGTGAGGATTGGGACGTAGATCGACCGGTAAATCGAGAGCCTGGCTTTCTGACCCAGCAACCTCTTCACCACGACAGATCGGCTCAGCGTCCGCATCACTGCAGACGCCGAACCAATCCACCTGTCAATCTCCCGATCCCTCCTACCCTCACTCGTGAACAAGATCCCGAGATACTTAAACTCCTCCACTTGAGGTAGGACCTCTCCCCCAACCCGAAGTTGGCAAGCCACCCTTTTCAGGTCTTTTGACAGTATGTTTGTAAATGTTACGGTACATTGAGGATATTGTGCTGAATCTTTATTTGAAGAAAATCGTGAATCACAAATTGAAAACCGCAATATCTGCCAGTAAAATCACAATTCAATTTTTTTCCTAAAATCATCGCTTTAGAAATGTAGACAAAATTCATAAATATCAGGTTTGATTTTCAAAAGCAACTTTTTGCATTGATGTCCAAAAATCAGTAAGGTGATATCAACAGAACCACAAAACCAAGAAAAATACTATACCCAGATTTCATGAGATCTACAGTAGAAATATGATACTCAGTTTGCAGGGCAGCAGTCAACAAGGAGCTATACCTGATCACACAAGTTGAGATCAATCACACGAATGGGTTTCTTAGCATGGTCATTCTTGTAGTACTCCAGCACATCTGGGTCGCCTGTAAGACGGCCACTGCGAAGAACAAACCACCTCTTCTTCCATGCCTGCAGGGAGAGCAGAATTGAGGTCAAAGGTTAGATGTATGTCCTCACAATGACTGTGCCATTCCAAGATTACAACAGTTTGACCAAATGCTTTATTTTTGTCCATTTCTCCAGCGATTTCGAGCATGGCTTGCATCTCTGTTTACAGCTGCAACATTCTCACTAAAGAATATAGAGAGCCAGAGGGAAAAAGGCCTGAAACCAGATGTGTCTGGGATATCCAGAACAAAAGCCACATAGTTTAGGCTAGCACCCCGACTTAAGTGAAAAACCTAATCTATAAAGGGAAACAGGCAATTAGGTCTTCTCTTTTATTCAATGCAACGTGCTGTCCCTGAGGACTGAGAGCTATATTGCTCACAAAAGTTTAAATTTAAATGCAACAAAGAGAGGAAAAATAGCTGAAAGCAGAGCAGTGACTTTACAAGTTAAACAAGAAAGTGTTTACTATAAAACAAGGAAATACAAAAGACACGCAAGGACCAGCCATTTTACCTGCATGGCTTAATGACAGAGAGTTTGAAGATTTACAAACTTTTTACTGAAAGATCCACAAACGTGTGGAATCAAAAGAATCATCTCCAGAACTTTATTGGTACACTTCCACCATTTACAAACAGACAAACATCTATCTCATTCTTGTATAAATCTCATCTGAGGTGTTTGGAGTTGGTTGTGTAGGTATCTTTTAATTACCTGCATTAGGACATGTGAGAACTGCTGCAAGTCTGTGATTTATGCTCGCACAGTGTTTTACAACGTCTTGAAATATGCTACAACCCTGACCAGAGGAAATCTGAGTTTTACAGCCATATTGGAACTCTCTGAGCTTTGGGGCCTAATCTGGGGGCAGAAAACCCTGGTTGGAAAAGAAGCTGTTCAAGGGATTTATTGTTTGAACACACATATAATCTCAGTGAACACCTGACCTGCACTTGCATTTAAATTTCAAGAGTTTATAATTTCAACAAAAATGTAAGTATTTTCTGGACCAATGAAGACTGAGTTAGGAGTCACATGACTTGGGTGTTGTTTGATGTAGAAATTCAGAGTCAAAGAAAGCTTAAAAAAAATAATAATAATAAAGCCAACAAAAACCTTGTGGAACTCAGAAAATAAGGTCAGAAAACAGGTTTAATTTAAAATAAGACCAAATATTAAATTCCATTTACGGCTCAAATCACAACAAATATTAAAATGAAAGTCCCCTGTGTCTTATGCATAAACATAAATAAGGTCAAGTTAGTGAAAGAACCACTGAGAAAAGAGAAAACACACCAAACTGGTGTGAGGGAATCAAACCGAAAGCTTGGTGTTAAGATTGGGTCTGTTTTAACAATGCTGTAGGTTTGTTTTTGGACAAGAAAGTTTCAGCATGTTTTTTTTATCCACAGGGTGTCGCTTGTTAGTGGGCCAAACCCCAAACCGAGACAGCGTCAGACCTTTCCTCTTCAACAAGAGGACAAAGACACAAGGGAAACAGAAGTATGTGTTTTTAATGAAAGATCCACAAACGTATGCACCACTTCCAACCCAAAAAGACAATTCCCATCAAACACCAACACACACACATGCAGCACATGCTTTAAACACTGGCTCTAAAGGCTTGTGTTGTATAATCACAAACACACCCACACAGAGCAAACTAGGCTTCAACTTATTAAAACCTACATCCTTTGAGGGAGGCTCTCCTCAATATGAAATTCATGTCAAAACGCTAAAGATAGCGTGGAAAATGCACACCGATTCCCGGTGTTGTGCTGGACAGAGACGGTGGGTGTGGAGAGAGTACCTCTCCCTCTCTCTCCAGCATATGACAAAGCAATCCTGGGTCATGTTACCCTGTGGGGAACAGAAAGACCAAGAGCTTGGGTTACAGAGAGGCCAGGCCAGCACAGGGCAAGTGTTGACAACTGGGAAACAAGCTCAAAAACAGGGGCAAGGGAGATCTGTTCAACATAGATGCAATGATGGAGGACAATTCCCTTTAGATACAGAAAAAATACTCAACTAAATCAAGTCTTGTACGTTTGATTATACTGTTTAATTAAAAATATATTTGTCCAATAAAAATTTTTCATATCAACAGTAAGTATAAAGTCAATGTATTAAATTTAGCTGTTAAAACTGATAGCAAATCTGCTAAACAAGCTAGCTTTTAAAAACAAACACAGCCTCAGAACTCTCCCTATCCCATTGGCTATCATACCTTGACCACATCCCACTGATACCAGAACCCACATTTCCAGAGGAAACGATATAGCGCTAAACACCAGTCGTAGTTTTCTACATCAAACGTCTTTTGTTGTCCGTGACTTCAAATGGTGTTTTCTTTTTGGGACTCGAGTAGTTTGTCCTAAAGTTGAAGTGAGGTTTGTAGACAAATACGAGCAAACCATTTCATTTTTTTTATGTCAACAATATTTTTATATCTATACTATGTTGGATCACTGTGTTTTAGGCTTGTTTGTTTTACAGATTTACCACTGAAGCTAAAATTCAAACTTATGTACACTTGAACTGAATTTGAAAAACAAAACACTTGATATTTTTTCATGTCAAGATTGTGGAAAATATGCCTTCATGAAAAATCAACAATGAATGAAGTGAAAAACATATTTAAAATACTTAATAGCAGTAAACAAATTAAAGCCTGCGGCACACCGCAGACAGACGCGCCGTGCCGCTAAAGCGCCGCAGTTTTGAGAAGTCAAGTGGTCACACAGGATGCGCCGCTCCGCTGAGCGCTTCTTGGAAAGTTGCTCGATAGTCACAACATCACGTGGGACATGAGAACAGGAAGCGGGAAGTGACTATTGTTCATAAGTGATCAAACTTGCCATCGTGTTTTGTGAGACTATTTCCTCAAAAATGAGTAAGCATAGTACTTATTAGAATATTTTAGGATCAATAGTACTTAAAAGTTATCAAAACTGCAGCTGGGTTTGTGCCAGCAGTACATGGTACTTGTAAAGTACTCTGCAATGTTGTAAACAGCCACAGCGCTTGAAATGGAACCGGCGACCACCTTCAGTGCCTTGGTGCTTCTGGGATGCGGTGCAGCACTCCCCGTGTAGCCACTCTCATTACCTATAATGGCTTCTACTTAAAATGGCGGCGGGACGCGGCCCGTTTTTCTCCAGTGTGCCCTAGGCTAAAGGCTACAACTATGCACCATTTCCAACCCAAAGCAAAGATAGGCACTTAACTAACTATATCAACAACACACTGAGTGTGGAGAACAACAAATTATATTTGTATATGCAGTAAAAAGCATCCATCACGGAGAAATTCTGAACCAATAGATGTTTTCTAAAAGGATCAAATAAACAAACATGTTACAATTTTGAAATCAGACATTTCTGTCAAATCCTCACACTGTCTTATAGTTGGGGTCAAGCACAACTAAAACATGAGTGGAAACACTGAGGAAAATCTTCAAAGACTGTTTTTCACTGCCACATTAACAAGCTGCAGCAATTCTAGGACAAAAAGCTGTATGGCTGCCAGACTTTCTCTCTTCCATCTGTGGGACTTTACACAGATTTTCTAAATGCACAATTAGGTGCTGAATCTTTTTTTGCCATCCAACCAGCATTTGCTGCCAGAAAATACTTAGATACAGACAACTGAGAAGGCAAGTTCAAAGTAGCTTCCTGATGGTCACAAGGAGCTACTCTCAACTGACAATGCATCAAACAATAAATATGTTTGTATGCAAAAAAGTCACTGGACCCATTTGCATGAAATGCAGCAGCCTCTTTAAAACCCAAAGGCTAACAGTTTTTCCATTTTTCTTCTAACTTAAACATAACCTTAAGAGAAAAAAAATCGTACATGAACGTGTTCCATAATCCTTGCTGTAAGTGAATTTTAACTGACTTGTGATTGAACAAGAACCAACAACTTTCACGATAAGTGAAAGTCCGCAACAGAAACAAATTAGCTAACTCATTTACTTAAGCATCAATTTACAATCTAGATGAACTCTTATATAAGTTATGGCAAAAACAGCAAACTGCTGCAAGTATTCAACCTGACAAAAATATACAGCAGGATTGTCTTCATATAGGAATGTTGTCACTGAGCCTGGTTATGACATCCTCATGACCTGATGTAATAGGTTTCTCCTGCAGGAAAACGCTTTCTCTCTGTTTCAGAAAATACACATTCACTTGTTTATACAGATAAATTAAGGTGGTTGACCTGCATCCCTTTTATTTATTTTTGTATTAAGGCACAGCTCAACTTAACAGCACACAATTCTCCAAGATACATTTTTGCAGTGTGTGTGTGTATATATATATATATATATATATATATATATATATATATATATATATATATATGATAAACGGAGGAGGAAGTGATACCACCAACATCGGCGGTACTCTGAGGAAGGCTACAGTGTTATCTGAAACGTGTCAGTTTAAAAGACAGGGTATCTGCAGGCTTGAGGGAGCCAAATTTAAGACTTTTTAAGACCTTTTTAAGGCCATTTTGACCAAATTTAAGCTTTTTTTATTATTTAATTTAAGCTATAATTTCCAGCTATTGCCTGGAATCGGTCCTAACCATGTCGCGAATGTGGGATTAGCCATCCATTTACCATTGAACTTGCACTTCTCCATGGCGCAAGCTCCCACTAGCTTAACCAGCTAATGTGCTCATCTAAAAATAGCCCCCTTTCACAACCAGCTGAATGTGTACGGTTCCGCTTACGCCAACATCGTACACAAAAAATGCTGAACACTAACTAGAAATTCACGAAAAAGTCATAGAAATAAACTAATCTAGTTTATTGGGTCTTTGGTAATTTAAGACCTTTGGAAACTGTATTTAAGGATTATTTGTCATTTTTAAGGATTTTCAAGGCCTTAAATTTGGAAAAGTAAATTTAAGACTTTTTAAGACTTTTTAAGGACCCGCGGATACCCTGAAAAGATAAAAACAAATCTTTACTACGTTGAATCAAGCAATGCAGTCTGACAGATCACGCA